TCTAAAAAAATTTTATTCTAAAAGGAAAAAAAAAAGAACAGATAAAAAATTTTAAAAATAACAAACTAAAATATTTAATAAGTGATAATTTTAAAAATTATAATACCTGAAAAAATAATATTACATCGTTTACAACTTAAATTTGTTACCAATTAATTATATTTCACTTTAGCATTTTGTTAATATGGGTTAACGGTGTGACTTAAATAAGTGATATTTTTAAATTTGTTAAAATTAAAATATTTAACGCTTATTTTTTAGAAATTGTTGACTATTTTTAAGACTTAAATGAGAGTTTAGTTGATAAATCTATGACACAAATTTTGTTGATCAAATTTGATGGAATTAAGGTGTAAATGAATTGAATTGAGCTGATTAAATAAAGTTTAACTTATAAAAAATTAAAAATTTTAAATAAAACTTATTTAATTAAATAAACTATATTTAAAAATTAAAATTAATTTGATTAAAAATTTTAAAACTTAAACTTAACTTATTAATTTATATATTTATGACTTTTTTTTCTTGAAAAACTTTAAATAAAAATTAATCTTCATGATTAAAAAATAAAATAAAAAACAACTTTATAAACATGAAACTGCTTTATGATTATTTATTTATTTTTAAATATATTATAGTGTTTAGCTTATAAAACTTAATTGTGAGTGATTTAAATAATTAGATTCAACTTTAAATTTATTTTTTTATTCAAATTAATAACTAAATTTAAAAAAATATTTAATGAATTAAATTCAAATAATTCATGAGACATAGTATTTTGAAACTTTGAGTTTCCATTTGGTCTACCATGTAAGCAAACCTTACATCCCACTTGATTTACCATTGATTTGCCTCAATCGTAATAAAATTGGCTGCTGCTCGAATATTTGAGTTCGTATTCCCAACATTTGACGTTAAAGGTTTTTTTCTTTTTTAATTTAAATGCTATTTTAAAATTGACCCCAAACTTTAAGGGTGTTCATAATTTTATCTAATCTAAAATAAATCATATAAATAAAAATTAAAAGGTTAAAAAAAATCAAATTTAGTAGATTGGATATAATTTTAAAGATTAATAGTTTATTATGTTAGTGTATTTATTATAAGTTCTTTAATTATTGATTAAATTGAAATTGCTCTTATGTCTCACATTTTCTTTTATCTTATAATTTCAGTTTTGAAATATGCTGTTAGGACAATAGTTAGATGATTAATAAATATATAATTTTTTTCTGAAAAACTATGTGCATGTGTTGATAATATTAGATATTATATATTTTTACTAATAATTTTTTTTTTAATTCTCTAGTTAAGGGTAATGATATATGAAACCATTAATGTTTTATATTAAAAAGAAAACAAGTTTCAATAAAACTATGTAAGAGAGATCAAATAAGACTCGTTTACTTATAACATAATTGAAAACAAACTCAATCCGTTTTATATTGGATTTTACCTATTTGATTGAAACTGAATTTATAATCAAAATTTTTCTCTTTAAAATTGACATAATTCAGTCTGTTGGCACCTTTGCTTGATTTTTGAGTCTAAGTACAGTTTTGATTTTGAAATTAAGTACATATAAATAACATAATCATCTTCTTCTGATATTAAATTAATAGTGTATATTTATTTAATAATTTGAAAGCTTAGACCATTGCCTAATATAAAAGGTTAATGGACTCTAATAACTTATTAAGATGCAGGTGCTTTAAACCCATTTAAGAGACATTACTACAAAATAAGGTTTTAAATTTTATTTTAAATATATTAAACAAATAAGTTAAACTCAAATTTTATATTAAAAAAACAAAAGACTAGACGTATTTAAAGTAAGCAAGTCTATCTGAACTCATGTTTACTCTTATTTCTTAATTATACATATTACGACTACATTATTAAAATAGTATAACGTTTGACTTAATATTTTTGAGAATTAACTTTTTAATTAAACAATAATATCAAATATTAGTATAAACATATTTTGCAAAGCATTTTAATTGAATCCATAAATATCACACATGTTGCGGATCAAGAAAAAAAAGTTGCAAAATTTGAGGTGTAAAATCAATTAATAAAGTTTGTAGTCTATTCCTCGAAGTTCATTGAACGAGATAAAGATAAAGGCAACTTATCATGGTTAAAAAATGTTGATTTTAAAAAAAGAGCCAACACTATTTTTATTTTCGATAGTTAAAAATAAAGATGAATTTTGTATAGCAAAAAAAAGATGAATTTTGTAATTTAGAGACAAATTTTAAAATGAAAATATATATTAAATTTATTAGAAATACTATTAACAACTGAAAATATTTATCTCTAGTATGATTTGTCTTTAATTTTATTTCTATTTTATAAAATTATAAAAAAATTTAAAATATTACTCGATTAAAAAATATATTTGTTATTATAAATGTCAATTTTTTAAAATTTATCAAAACTGTTTTCTAAAAACAACAATTATAAGAGTGAATAATATAATTTATAATTCGATAAAAAGAGATAACTTTAGAGTAAGTTATTAAAAAAAATATTTTGATTATAAATATTTATAAAAATTTATTTATTTTATCAAATTTAATAACATCGTGTAATTTATACAATTAATTTTATTTAATAAAACAAAGCTTAGTTGATGTCGGACATCTTTACCGGTAATATTTAAAACAAAATTTTACATATTTATATCCATTTTATGACATATGATTAAAAAACATTTATCACATGAAATTATACATGTTTTACAAATAAACCCATTATTTAAGCTGAAAAATAAAATAAAATACTATGACTATCCAAATTAATGATTCATACTTCCAATTGCAAAATATGTTGATTTAATATATAGTTAGTAGAGATGAAAGTCACTCATATAAGCTTTTTAAGACTTGAATCTTATTTAATTTCTAAATTTAAGTGGGAGTAGATATCTGTTTATTTAATTTAAGTTAATTTGTAAGTTATGATATGATTTTTTTTGGAAATTTAGCCTTTCTTGAAATTTCATTTAAAAATTTATTTTACAATAAAGTATTTTAAATGAATTAATAAACCTAAACTTAGATGTAGATTAATTGATTTAAACTTTTAAATAGAAAAAATATATAATTTTAAAATACTATAATAATAATAATAATAATAATAATAATAATAATAATAATAATAATAATAATAATAAACCATACATAATATTATTATAATATTTATGTTTACATAAATAGACTGACTTGTTAGACTTAAAATATTTTTAATAACCTTAAATATGATATTTATCGTTAATTTTTGAAAAATATTAATTTATTCTATTTAATAAATAAGCTGATTTTAACCTAAATATTATTTACAAATTAGTACAATAAGAAGAAAATTTTATCATAAAATTTATAAATGTTTGAGTATATCGGGTAGGGTGGGCAAGGGTTGAGCTCATTTGCTGTTAAGAGGGTCATGCCACCCCTTCGCAAATTTTTAAAATGTTTTTAATATTGACAATGTATCATATAAGAGGATCTTTTAATTTGAGAGTAAAAGATAACTTTTAATCATTAAATCTATTTATAAATTATTAAAATTTAAATATTAAAAAATACATAATATTTAAAAATAATTAATGAGATCATTAAATATCTTTCAACGATAATCAGTTATATATAATTATGTATATATGGCCCTCTTCGCCTTTTCATAGACACCAATGTATATATATATATATAAATATTTTATTTAACTAATATTTAACGGTTATATTAAATAAAAAATTTAAATTAAGTGTAAAATTTTTTAAACTTATATTGATGTAAAAAAAATTCTATATATATATATATATATATATATTACTTATTATCTTTTAATATTATATTTTAGACAAAATAAAACTCATATATTCAAGACATTTATAATAAAGTAAAGAATTTTATCAACAGTAATTAAATTTTATAAAATAATAATAATAATATAAAGATAATTATAATAAATATTTCACTTTTGCATCAAATAAAATTTTAACTTTAAATAGTTGTTTCATGACTCAAATCTTGACTTTATTTAGAGTATATATATATATATATATATATATATAAATAATTGGTATCTTACATGTAAAATTTTACTATATAATATCTTATATATAGAATAATGACGGGAACCTTGATATAAAATATTTATCTTAAATATACAAAGTAATTATTATTATTATTAAATATTTTCAAACTTGTTTTTATGAAAAAAAAAAATTAGAAGTTAAGATTTTTTTCATCTTATCAAAGAGAGTGTAAAATTTAAATCAGAAAAATAGAAAAATAAGCAGATCAAATAAGTTTAATAAATCATATAATTTAAATTTTATGTTGAAATTAGTTTTGAAGGTTTTTTTTAAATTTATTTAATTTTTTAAAACACAACAATGTAAGATCAGTTAGATTATAATTTTTATTTTAAAATTTAAAAATAAATTTATCTAAAAAACTATATAAATAACAATTTTATTTTTATTTAAATAAATCTAAATTTACTTAAAAAAATTAAACTATTTTTTTTTTGTTTCTTTCAATTTTTCACTTTTTTTCTTTCTATTCCTCTTTTTTTCCCCCCTCTTTTCTATTTTCTCTTTCCTTCCCACTACCTCCTCCTTTTTTTCTCTCTTACTCATTTCTCTTTTGTCTCACTTGTTTCTTTCATTCTTTCTTCTACACTCTCTTTCCTTCTCTTCTCTTATTCTGTTCTTTTAGTTTAAATGATTTTTTTTTATTTTTTAAAAATAAAAATTACATTTTTAAGTATTTTACTTAAATTAATCAAAATTTGTTTAAGTAAAAAATAGAATGTAGTTTCCCTCAAAATTGTAAAGATTTAAATGCCACCTGTAAAATATTGATACTGATAAAGAAGAAAAAAATAAAAAATAAAATGTGATATAAATATTCACGTTAATGCCGTATCTATATATATAATTTGTTATCTCCGTATACATATATATGTGGTTACTATTCTTGGTCAAGGTTGCGATTACTCTATTTATACTGATAGCTCTTCCTCCTACCACACTTAAAGGCAGTTTCCGAGTTTGAAGGGAGCGTTCATCAATTTTTTACTTTCCCTTCACATCTTGAAAAAGCACTTACCCACGCAAACAACAGAGGAAACAAATGGAAACAGTGGAAGTGCTTCACATGAACAAAGGCGTAGGCGAAACTAGCTATGCCATGAACTCTGCTGTTCAGGTTGGCTTCTATGTATATTTTAATAATGCTAAAGTAAATGTTTCTAAAGATATTGTATAAAAATAGTATGTAATATTTTATTATTAATTGTTGTTCCCTTATTGGACTACATACCCTTAGATTTAGTCTGTGATATTATTATCTGGAAATTTTGTAGAACAAGATAATCTCAGCCGCAGAGCCAGCAACAAAGAAAGCTATTGTGCAAATTCTATGTTCAAGTTGGCCAGCGAAGATGAGCATTGCTGACTTGGGTTGCTCATCAGGACCCAATGCATTAAGGGTGATTGCAGAGATAGTGGACGCTGTGTATGGCACAACGCGCCTCTTAGATCGCCCCGCGCCAGAATTGTTGGTGTATTTGAACGACCTTTTCACCAATGATTTCAACAACCTCTTCGGGTCATTGCCATCTTTCTACAGAAAACAGAGGGAAGAAAAGGGAAGTGGTTTTGGATCCTGTTTCATTTCCGCTGTCCCTGGCTCTTTCTATGGTAGGCTCTTCCCAAGCAAGAGCCTCCACTTTGTGCACTCTTCTTCCAGCCTCCATTGGCTTTCTCAGGTACACACCAAACTCTCTTATTTTTAAAGATCTTTCTCTTATATATATATACATATTATCATTTCTCTTTCTTTTTAATTACCTGCTTTATCTATTTTATATTAAATTATCTGTTTATTTTTATTTTATTTTAGTTTAATTTTTCATTATTTATCCTTTTTCCCCCTTCACAACGTTAAGATAAGGCGACAACAAAGGCGTAAATCACGAGTTAATTGTAACCACTATAACGACTGTGATGTTAGTACGATGGTGGGAACATACAAGATACCATGTATGTACGAAGACAAAGTCTTAACAGCACTCTCATGGTGTCTCTCGTACTCCTTCTCTTATGACCTCGATACTTAATAAGAAAATTCACCAAAATGTATTGTACTTTCATCAAAATTTACGAAAAAAAATTATAAATAGAATTCGCATTTTTTAAAATTTATTTATTTAAATTACTTTTATAAAATAAAAGACTAAAATTAAAATAAAACTAAAAATTAATCGAATATATATTCTTGTATTTATTTAAATATTTTATTTAACTTACATTTAATAATTAATAAAATAATAAATTATAATTTAGTAAATATAAATTAAATAAAAAATTTATATACAAGACACACATATATATATATATATATATATATATATATTTTTATTTTTTTTTTCTCCACCCACTTTAATAATTTTAGCATTGGATGTAAATATGTTAATGTCCGTGTCCTTCTCTATTTTAATTACTATTTGGTTACCTTACCTGGTATTATACAGGTGCATGTCATAAGACCTTGATACTAGGTCGCATGTCGGTGCTACTAACATATTTCGAAAGATAACAGACGACTGTCAGTTAAGAAAACTAATATTCATAAACTCACTGGGTATACCCTGTTATATAACTGTCTAATGAGAGATGTATAAATTCATTTTAAATTATAATTTTTATTTATTTTTATATATATTTTCACTCAAACTAGCCAATATAAGGACTTTTCCTTTGGGAAATGATGTGCAATAGACAGTTTGGCTCAGGGAAACTGTTTAAGTTGCTCGTTGTTAGCGTCAATACGCGAAGGGAATAAATAAATTTATCATCAATATGGAATTTTTGTTTTAATATTCCTGGAGTACATACTTCTTCCTTAAAATGAAAACCATATTCTTACATAAGAAAAACCATTTTTATACGGTTATTTTTTTTTCTTGATTTACTTTTTAAAATTTAAAATAAAAGAATAACAAATAAAGATAAGTAATAATATATATATATATATATATATATATATATACTATCAAATAAAAAAAAATTCTAATTTAACTTATAATTTCGCTGAGTCTCAGTAAATATTACGTTATTAAATTTCTAAAGTTAAAGTTTTATTGACGATAGACCGATGAAAAATTAAAATGCAGCTGATTGATATAATAAAAAGTGATAGAAATTTTTTTTGACCAAATTTTAGAGAATGTTAGGAGTGTGTTAAATAATGTGTTGTTAGCATTTTTATATTAACATTTTTCTCGTAGTATTATATATTTCGCCAATTTACAGTTTAGTGCTCAGTAATAGTATATATCTAATATTAAGTCCCTCTTCACTTCAGCCGTTTTTTATGTTATTTCAGAGTAGTCCATTGCAGTTTTAAAATTTCAATTTAGTCCTCAGTATTTATAGATCCTTAGGTGTCGTATTTCTCCTCTTGGATACTGTATTGAAGGGAATCGTGCTGTGTTTGTGGATACTGTGAATACGTGGCGCAACGGTGGCGCTTAAAGACATATACTAAAAATTAAGGAATATTATGGTGGAAATTAGACGGAATAGATGACTGTACACAGAAGATAATGAAAAGTTGAGTACAGGTGAAGAACGATAATCAGGAAAATTTTGACATCTTTTGCACATGCTTAACTGATCATCATTGAATAAAGTTAGTTACACATTAAATGAAGAGTGATAAAAAGAAAAGAGAGAAATGTGTGATTTGATGGATATTGATGTAATGGAAAGAAATAGATTGTGATAAACATTTGTTATATGAATAAGAATAACATAATAGTTCGTATTTGGGAGGAAGGTGCCTGTGGGTTTGGAGGACAGCAGTGGGAGAAGATTGAACAAGGGAAAGATCTTCATATCAAAGAGTAGTCCAAAGTGCGTGTTAGATGCTTATTCGCAGCAATTTCGGAATGATTTTTCACTGTTTCTGGAGTCACGTTCTCAAGAGATGGTTACGGAGGGACGCATGGTTTTGTCTCTTATGGGCAGAGAATCCATGGACCCAACAACTGCTCATTGTTGTTATCAATGGGAACTGTTGGCGGACGCCCTCATCACCATGGTTTCTGAGGTACGACAACTCATTAATGTCTCCCACTTTAAATTCACTCTAGTACTTTGTATCCCAACAATGAGGTTATGTATGTATAGGGTCTAGTGGAAGAGGAGAAGGTGGATTCTTTTGACGCTCCTTACTATGCACCGTGCATAGAGGAGGTGAAAATGGAGATTGAAAAGGAGGGGTCATTCGTGGTGGAAAGGCACGAAGCTTATGAAATCGATTGGGATGGTGGAATGGGAATGAAAAGTGATTCCGGCGGAACGCTATTATCAAGGGGAGAGCATGTGGCGAGGACCATAAGGGCTGTGGTGGAGTCGATGCTGGAATCCCATTTCGGGTGTGATATTATTGATGAGCTTTTTCGAAGGTATGCAGAACTTGTGGAGGACCATTTGTCGAACACCAGGACCAAGTACGTCAATTTGGTCATTTCCCTCGTCAAGCGAGGCTGAAAGAACACTGCAATTCACTGCCACATTTATTATTTTTCGTAAATTAAGTATATTATTATTGTCCACGATAAAGCTTATTCCTCTTGTCGTTGTTGATTGATAGCTAGCTGTATATGCTACGTCTACGTCTCTCCTAGTTTAATGTCATGCAAGCGTTTGACTAAAATGCATCCCACTTTCTTAATTATTAATTATAAATATAATATTATTAAAAAATACTTTTTAATTAATTTAAATTTAAGCAATTTATTATTAACTATGTTAATCAATTACCTAGAAATTATTCTAACTTAATTATTAGATAAAATTCAAATTCTAATTAATGCAAATGCAAAAATTTTGCTGCATGTAATAGTTGTACCCGCATGGATTGACGATATTATGCTCTGAAGAAGACAGCTGATGTATATTATCAGTGACTGATAAGTGAATCTGATTGAAATGGCGGTGATTGTAATCATCCCACAAAACACAACTAGCTCGCGAAGGCCTTAACGTGCCCCAAATATTTAACTGAATTGTTTAGAAAAATATTTAATTTTATCTAATTTTTTTTTATCGTATAATTCATCAGATAATTCAATTAATCAGATGATTAATTTGGTTAGGCCTCATGTTGGACTTAAAAAAATTCAATAAAAATTGTTGTTAAAATACTGTTTCTTTTCCTTAAGTTTTATATTGAGTTTTATTAAAAATTTGGGAACAGAAAATTATTTTGTTAAAAAAATATTTATAATAACTTTTTTAAATAAAAAAAATATAATTAATATTGAGTTGATTTTAAATTATCATTTTATATGACTTTTTTTACCTAATAAAAAAATAAATTTGGGAATAAAAGTTATAGTAGAAAAAAATTGGTCATATGCCAATATCTAAATTAAGATAAAAATGATTCAAAATATGCATTATTAACATATCTCAATACAATAAAATTAAATTATTAATTACTTTTGAAAGCAATAGACTAATTGCAAGCTGCCAAAAAAATTTAATTAATGAAATATAAAACATTAGGCTTACTTATCTATTGTATATAATCAAATTATCCAACAATAACATTCACAAAAATTTTTGATAGCATTCACTCACATATGTCACAAAACTTAAATTAAAATACACATATTAATGAAATATAGAGCAATAGTCATATCCACTATATTATCTAGAAATAACATCCACAAATTATATTTTGGTAGTATCCACATATGCAACCTGTTTTCTTATCATAAGAAAAATATAGTTAGTTTTCTTGTGTATCGTGATGATGGCAGATTAACAAAATAACATACATAGACAAAAAAAAAAAAAAACACAAATGAGTAAACCTTTCCTCACCCGCAACAACACAAACTCAGATATCCATTAAAATAAATAATAAAAACACAGAATAATATTAACAAAAACAGAACTTCTAAAGTATTTACTTTTGCAAGGAAAAGTAATGACAACACGAACAGAAGAAAGAAAAACCTAAAATAGAGAAAAAAGGTAACAATAGATTAAGAAACCACACTATAATAAAATATACGTACACAAAAAAAATTAACAAATATTAACAAAAAACAAAAATAACAACACAAAATCAGTAGTTCATTAAATCAAATAACCACAATACATAACAATATTAACAAAAACTAAAGAATAAAAATCATAACCCTAACCCCAAAGAAATAAAAAACCAAAAAAAAAATATTTACTTTAGTAAAAGGGAAAGTAGGGTTGATCAGTTGAGACTTGAGAGTAAGAGTAATCAAATGGAAGAAAGAAATTGTGGTCTATGGTAACAAAAAAGAGAGGTAGCGAAGAGAGAAAATTTCAAACCCTAAGAGAGCTCAAAGATAGCAAACAAAGGATCGACATCGCATAGACTAAAGAAATGAGAGAAAGATATGTTGCAGCATCAATTAAAATCTAATGACCTAATAACGGAACTGGGCCTGACCCAAATTAAATATTCATATCACATGTATATTTGGTAAATTAAACATTCACGAATTTAGAAATGAAGGAAAAATATGTTGCAGTATCAATTAAACCCTAATGATCCAATAACGGAATTGGACCTGGCCCAAATTAAATATTCATATCACATGCATATTTGGTAAATTAAACATTCACAGATTCACACACACACACACACATATATATATATATATATATATATATATTCGGTTGGTTTCAGGTACCGACAATTTTCTTATTTTACAGATTCACATATATATATATTCAGTTGGTTTTGAGTACCAACAATTTTTTAATTTTATACCTATTACCGACCTTATTTAACTATTTTAATCCAAAAAAGGTATTATACTTACCCGAAACTCGTTACTATTCGATTTTGCTTGGGTGGATTGTTCGGATTCATACAGAGCGAAACAAATTGTTTGAATCTGCACAGCCCTAGCCCCAAACGAAAAACGAGAAAGAGTTGTAAAAAATTTAAAAATATAATTGGTATGTAAATACAAAATATATTTTATGATAAATTTTTAAATATCAGATTTATTATTCTCTCATACTATTATTAATATTTTATTATTTAAAAATAATATTTATAAATATATGTCTAAACACATTTTAAATATTTATTATTTAGTTCTTATTTTTCATCTCAATCAGTTCAATACTTTAAAAAATATTAATAATGAAACTAAATTTTAATATTTTAATATTTTAACAATTTTTAAAAAAATATTAAAAATACTATATTTATAAAAACTAATCATATTATAAAAAATATAATTAAATACAGAAAGAAACAAAAACAAGATATATATTTATTTTAAACATATTATTGATTAGTTTGAAATATTCTTTAACCATAACTTTTTGAATGCTTTTTAACATGATTTTTTAGAAACGAATACAACCTATAAAAATAAAAATACGATAAAGACTAAATCGTGCTTAATATATGAATAGTTGGCACTACGAGGAATCAATTATAAATTGCAAATTGCTTGGTAGAATTTATTTTACATCTTTAAATAAATGTCAAATTTGATTATTTATATATCAAGATAGAATAAAATTTTAAGATTTATGTTTGAAAATTGTGTTTAGGAAGAGAAGAGAGGAATAAGTAAGGGTTAACTTTATTTAAGAGTTACTTTAAGTAGGAGTGGGAGGATTTGGAGATTTTTTAAAACTCTCTAAGACTCTTTTAATTTTAGTTTGTTGATTTTTTTTTACAACATAGAAATTTTCTCTCTCCAACTCTCTTGAATAAGATTCTAACTTTTTCTTAAATAGTAGTTTTTTAAATGAGAATTTTTTAAAAAATTTATAAAAAATAAAATTATTAATTTTAAAATTATTAATTTTTTTTTTAAAATTATTATTTTTTATAAAAATAAAAAATATATAAATAAAAGATATAAAATATAATAATATTATTTATATAATTAAAATTCTCGTCACCCTACAATCTCAGTATTAATATATAAATAAGAGAGATGTTTAACCTCCTTCTCCCATCATTTCTCCAAATTTTTAAACAAAACTTAAGGATATTAAATTATGAAAGTACTTAACACTTACAATTTTTAATATATCAAAATATTTTGTAGGATGTATTTCATATGTAACCTTTAATTAATTTTAAAAGAAAATTTACGTTTTATCATTATAAAAGTTAAATAAAACTTCATATTAACATATTAAATAAAATGATTCAAAATTTATCTTATTTAAAATAAGGTAACTTGTCCCTTAATAATAAATATAATTATCTTTTCATTTTATTTTATCATCTTTAAAATACATGTACATTTTACATCTCTTTTTATATATATGTTGATGAAAAGATTAATATTAGTCTTTAATTTTAATTTTAAATATTATTAATAATAAAATTTTATCAAAAATATTAATTATAATTTTAGACTTTTATATAATAAGTTTTTAAATAAAATTTTACCATCCACAAGTAAGGTGGGGGACCTGGCTTACCACCGCATTGCATTTTTTAAATGAATTCCAACCATTAAAACAAGTCTATGCTATCCAGCGAAAGACAAAGATAGTTCCATTCTTCTTTTTGTTAGGTATTTCGATTCTTGAATCCGATGAACATGGGTTGACATTCATATCCTTCAACCACGTTTGTTTTAAATGTTTATTGTCTTATTCTTTAATTAAAATTTGTTTTATTTCAGTAGATAAATGAAAGTGTATTAGGTGGATCGCAGAGAAGAAAAAAAAGAAAGATATGATAAACCTTATGACGAGAAAAGAAGAGATATGAAAATTAAAAAGTATATGTATAAAAAATTTTATGTTGTATATTAATTAAAATATATAGTAAATATATTTTTTAATTTATTTATATAAAAATTAAAAATAATAATTGATATAATAATTTATAATTAAATAAAAGTGTAAAAATTATATTGCAAATACCTTTTAGTTAAAATTTTAAAGAAATCACTATAAAATATATATTTTAATTATTTGAAAATTTGTAATTAAATAATTGTATAAAATTTATATTAATAATATATTTTATTTATTTATTTTATTTAATAACACTATTCTCATGTTAATTAACAGTATAGTCCTATAATAAGTTATAAAATACTCTCTGACTCACGTGCTTGATGGTTCGAGTTAATTATTTTATTGCATATTTTATTTTTTTACTTTTTTTCATTTAAATATAATCAAAATACATTTAATATAATGGAGTACGTAAATCATTTGATAGAAATTGTTTTAACTTAAAAAAGTGATTTCGTTTACAAATTTTAATAAATGCAGTCATTTTACATGTACTTTAAAAAAAAGTACACCTAATATTTATAAAAATAAAACGTGTTTCATCTGATATAATCTTTGTTCCCTATAATGTTTTTTTTTATAGGCAAAACAAATCTTATTAAAAAGAGTTCAAGAGGAACTCAAAACCTATATACACAAAAAATTACTTACTCAGAGAAATAAAAAGTAAAAATATACTTATACAAAATTAAGACAGATGCAATTTCGTGGGTTCAAATACCAATCAGCTAACATAATAGCTTCTCCCTTACTAACAAGTGATAACCATTTCCAGGATCTCAGAATAATAGAATCTAGGACTTCCCTTTCATCCAAAACACCATTGGAAAATATAATTCTATTTCTATGCAACCACAAAGACCACACTGTAC